CTTTTTGTGCCCCCTTCTTTACTCTTCTTTTTTTCCCCTGCCTCTTTTTTTGCCCCTCTTCCCCCCCCCCCTCTTTTCTTTTACCCCCCTCTTTTTTTTTCCTCACTGATGGTAAGGTGCTGAATGTTTTTTTATGGAAGCAGTGAGTCAACACATCTTCCCGCGGCTGCGGGGAGAGAGGAGCTGCCGGGGGATGTTTTGTCCCCGTTCTTATCACCCGTTTCTGACCACGGTGGAGCGTGGTCTGTGGCTTAAACCCTCTGTCTCATTTCTCCCTTCTTAGATACTGTTTTAGAATAAAGCCCGTGTGGTTTTTTATCTTATTATTTTATTTTTAATTTCTTTTTTTCCTCTTCTTACCAGCGATTTGTGTGAAATCCCCGCCGTGTCTCTGGGTGGACACCCTCCCTGTACCCCCCTGGACCTTCAAACCTTCTCCAGCGATCGCATGGTGGCAAGGTGAGACCCCTCAAAACCCTCCCCAGCTTTTCTCTTCCCCTCCTCCCTTTCTCCTCCCGTGAGCCTCCGGGAGGGATCTGCGACATGAAGTTTCCATTTGGAGCTGGCAAATTCCTGGTATGCCGATTTCTAGGAAATGTGGCTCGGGATCGTGTGCTTGGTGAAACCCTAGCATGTGTGATACCTGTCTGTCCTCAGCCTGGGGTCGGACATCTGCATCCCATTCTCCGCTCTGAATTTTCTCCTATTTCTCTGGGCTGGAAGATAACAACATCCGTGTGGAGTGCGGACTGTAAATGTAAATGGCTTGGGTTTATGGCGTGGATTTCTGGGCAGTGTGTGCTGGTGTTGTACAACACGCATCCTCCTGGAGCAAAGTCTTCCTTGCTTCAAAGGTGTGTGCAAAGGGGAGAGGGCTTCGAGGTGCTCCTGTGAGGTAGCCTGGCAGCCCGCAAAGCAGGCAAACCTCGGAGGGTGATGAAGGTGGGGAAGACACCAGCCACTGCCCAGCTTAAAAAAAAAAAAAAATCCTTTCGTCGTACCTGCTTTTAAAAAAAAAATAGACAAAAATCGTGCAGAGTGTATTTTACTGAAGCAGCAGCTGAATTAAGGGCTGATTGTATGGGAGTGCTAAAATGGGGGACGAAGCTGTAGTGCTGCCTGGCTGTACTGGGGCGTGCAGGAGGGAGCTCTGCCTGGGCAGCCTGTGCCCACTGCGAGCTGCCTAATGGCTCGTGGGCATCGACTGCAGCTTAATGGCTCGTGGGCATCCATCGTGGCTTCATTGTGCGTGGGCATCGTTTGCTCACGAGCATCGAGCGCGGCGACGCCGCTCTGTTTGGAGGAGGGAAAAGTAATATTTGCAGCTGCTTGTGTCAACGCGCAGGGCAGCGTTTGGAGAAACAGCAGATTTGCAAGAGGGAAGGATGCAGCCGTCGTTGCTTTTGAGTAATTCAAGGAGTTTGTATTAATTTAGCAGGACTGAGACCAGGCGTGTGCCAGCGCTGCGGGTCGGGGTGTGCTGGTCCGAGTGAAGCACACGTCGTGCACGAGTAGGAGTCTCCCAAACTAGGGAGCCTCCTTGTTTGCTCAGCTAGAAGCTCTTCGATGTATTTTGTATTAATGTGGAAATACTTGCCCTCGAAGGATTGATTTTGTCCAGATGTCAAAACCTCTGGATTTTAAAGCTCATGTTTATTATAGCTCTTAAATTACAGATGAAACAGCTACGCTGCATTTTGAGATCATCTGGTAGAGGGGGGACTGATTAAAAACAAACAAGTGAAAACCCCAAACCCTTCTCTTTAGCAGTGAGGAATAACTTTGCCCTTTCGCAGGGACTGGGGAGGGTGGAGGTGGCAGCTCGGGGTCCCTATGGCTGCACGGCCTTGGAGCTCGAGCGGGGCTGGTTTGGGGGATTTACAGGCTCTTGCAAGAGACTTTGCTTCAGCGTGGGAAGAATCAGTGTATGCAAAACTGCCCCAAAACAAGCAGAACCTCCTTGTCGTCCACCAGCACCTTTCCTGGGGTGTGCTCTGGATTTTTTTGATCACCTTGCCATCACTTTTATTCGCTGTGCGTGGAAATCTCTTCCCTCTCTGGGCCTTACATCGATGCCCTTAGGCTTTGCTGAATTGCTGCACCTCTCAGTGGAGGAGGCCCCCCCAGGCCGGGGGGGTTAACCCTTCCCCACCCTCTCTCCGCCTCCCACCCATCCCTGTTTACCTCCCAGGGAAATGAAGCAGCAGTGGGTGTTTGGAGGAGGGAGGATGGTTGAGCTCGGCTTCGTTTACGGACTTACAACATTAAGCACGTGAGTAACAGCGGCGGGAAAGCAGGCTCTGCTTGGGGTGTCAAACACCCAAGGACTTTCACAAAGGGTAATTAATGAACCCTCCCTCTGTGTCCTGAGCACTCGTGGTCCTCCAACGAGAAGATTCAGGCTTTGACACCTTGGCTCCCTGGTATTTAGAGCTCGGAGAGCAGCAGATGAATTTTTATTTTTTTTCCCCTACAACTGTTTGTTTCAAATTAATTGGGATTTTGGACCCCAGCCAGTCTCCTTCTGTCGCTCCAAACCAGAGATAAGCGGGAGCAGCACGGTCTTTTCTCTAACCTAGTTGGAGCCGTTTTTTTGCTGGACGGAGAAGTCTCGAGCTCTTTCATAATGCGGACCACATCTTAATAGCCAGTCTTGTGGGCTCCATCCCTCCCACTGCTTCTGACGCAGAGCGTCTCCCCTCCTGCTCGCCTTGGCCAGCTTCCCTGGATGACTCCACTAATTGCTTACGTAGAAAAATAATGAGAAGGATGCGTATGATGTATTTTTAGACGTCTCTTGGTGGGATTTAGCAACCGGCGAGCCAGAGCCAGCACCTCCCCATCCGTCCTCTGCATCCCAGTGGTGGTTGCTTGGTGGCCCTCGGGAGGTTCTGCCCCAGGAGGTGGCACTTCTTTTGCAAGCTGCTTCCTTTTTTTTTGGGAGGGGGGCTCCTCCTGGACCTTAATAAATAGGTTATGGATGCTGCATCCCTGTTGCTGCACAGGATCTGTGCTGGGAAGCCCTGAGCCAGGTGCCAGCAGCGTGCCCATGCCATGATGGACACCACCACCTCCTCGCTCGTCTCCAGGAGGATGGCCACAGAGGTGGCAGGGCAGCAGGGACCATGGTGGCTTGGGCACCATCTCAGTGCCCGAATCAGAGAATAGTTTGGGTTAGAAGAGACCTTTAAAGATCATCTAGTCCAGCTGCCCTGCCATGGGCAGGGACACCTTCCACTAGACCAGGTTGCTCAAAGCGCCGTCCAACCTGACCTGGAATGTTTCAGGGGATGGGGCATCCACCACCTCTCTGGGCAGCCTGTTCCAGTGTCTCGCCACCCTCATTGTAAAAAGATTTATTTCGAAGTAGCCGATGATACTTTTTCCAATGCATAAGCACCCATAAGATGATGAGCCTCACCACCAAAATTGCTTTTTTTTCAGTGTTTTTTGAGGTGTTCCCCTCTGAAACCTCAGCAGAGCAGGGGAAAGGGAGCAGACACAAAATCTCATTGAATATTACCCCAAAGACTGTGATAATTGAGCATTGCAGCAAGTAGTTCCCTTATTTTTCTATTTGCTTCTTCCATCTCAGAGTTCTTTGTGTCTCGGTGGCTTCCTGTGCCGGGGGGGCCGGGCTCCAGCTCTTCCCTTTACACCCGGGTGCGAGGAGCGCAATTCTTCTTGCAGCACGACTTATCTGCCCTTGGAGCTGAAAACATCCTTTCTTTGCTCTTTTTGAATCCTCCAAATGAATGATTTCTCCTGCTGGTTAACATCAGCTTCCACACCAAAGACTGTGGGAAAGTTTCGCAATTAGAATGACTTTAATAGATCTGGTTTATGTCTTAAAAAACCCATCGCTTTCTAATTCTCCGTCACATGTTTCCTTGATTACGTGTCGCGCAGCAGTGTGGCTACTAAAATAGCCTTACGGTCTGAAGGAAATCATCAGGAAATAATGTTTTCTAAACCATAGGCAATTCTCTTTTCACCAGGCACCATTGGAAAAAGGCTGCATTTGACAAAAAAACGTGGCTTTTCTGGCACCTCGGCTGCTTGCGTGGTGATGCTGGGAGCGTCGTGCTCCAGCAGTTTGCCCAAACCTCCCTCAATTTCTTCGAGTCTTGCTGTGAATTTTCTATTTATCCACCCAAATAGTTGGGATTCTTTTGGTGTTGGGTTTGCTTTAGTTTTTGGAGAGGATGCTTGCTGTGCGTTTAGGTCTTTCCATGCCGGGTGATGCTTTGCTTGTCTGAGGCTTGGAGCCAGCTCTCCCTTTTTGGGGTGTTCTTGGCGGGCAGGAGAAAGTGAGGTTTGCCTGGGGGTTGAGGTGCTGCTTTCTGAATAATAGTCTCTGACAAATAGGTAATTCCTTGTGAAAAATAATCTTGAACTGTACGAAATACCTCAGAAGGCAAAGGCTAGCCGGGTGTGTGTATTTCTAGCACCTGTACCCAAGGGGTGCCCACGCCTGTGTGAGCCAGAAGGGATGGGTGAAGCTTGGTGGCCATCAGCCTTTTGCTTCTTGCCCACAAGCTCTTTACTCTCTCCTGGCTTCGCCGCAGCCCTTGATATCTGCTGATGTAGGTACTTCAAAAATAGTCCTGCGTCAAAATGGATGCTCGGCAGAGCACCACCGCAGAAGCACCCAGTGGTTTGGGTGCAGCACCCCGAGATGAGTTTCCACACTTCGCAGGGTGTCAGGGGTCAGGCTGACACGTGTGTTACCTGCTGGTGCTTCTTTTGGGTAAAACTCTTGCTGGGGGAACGTCCCGGGGCAATGCTGGGGGTGCAGTGTTGACCTAGGGAGGCTGAAGATGAAGACTGGGGACCTCTGTGAGCGCCCCCCTCGCTGCGGCCAGGTGGGGCCGTGGGGCTGTCCCCTGTCCCCGTCGAGGACGGCCGGTCACGCGTTGGGGTTTCCTGTGCGCTGCGGTTCAGCGGAGCCTGGGTGGCCCCTGGGAAGGGATTTTCCGCTCTGCACACTTGAGATGTGCTCAAAGCTTCCTGCCCTGGCCCCGCAGCAGAGCGAGCTGCTAATTTTCTTTAACCCTTTCCACTTCCACCACCTCCCGTGGTCCTGGCGGGCTGACGGGGTGCGTGCCGTGTCTCCCCAGGTCCAGGGCTTATGCGAGGAGACCATGACCACTGATGAGGCCACCAAGAGCGAAGGGGAGGTGCAGGCGGCAGCAGCTCTCGCCGAGCGCGGGGAGGACATCACGCCGGCTCGAGACCGAGGGGTCCTGAAGGTGAGGGGGGGCTGCCAGGAGGCTCCTGCATTTCTTTTTGCATTTTGGGGTTCGTGGCCATGTTGGTGAGCTGCATCCCCAGCCCTGGGGGTCATGTAGTACTTCCAGGGCTGTAGGACTGATTTTTTTAAAAAATTATTTGAAATGCAAAGGAGATGAGCATCACTTGGAATAAAGAAGGATGGAGTGGTGTTTGAGATTGATGGATTCAGGCTGCTCAATGAATTTTGCTGCTATTGTGTTCCTAATCAGATTATTAGCTGTAAATCCACAAAGCATTTTTGTGTGTGACTCACAGACATTAGAAAGAACACATTACTGAGGTCATCCAGTCTGCTCCACAACCCCTTTTTCATATTCAAGGCCGTTTCTGGATAGTTCTGCTCCCCAGCGCTTGCTCTTCTCCAGTTGAATAGGACCTTTCCTCTAAGAATAGCATCCTCCCCTGCTCCATCCTCAGCTCGAGAACTGCTTGTTCCAGGCTGTAGCATTCAAAAAAAGAAAAAAAAAAGAAGTGTTGACAAGAAGCGAGTAGTGAAATGACACACCCCTGTGAGTAAAATGTGTACGGACAGAAAGCGAGCGTAATTGCATTCGCTTCAGGTTTCGAACCGCCGTGTTTATCCAGACACCTCCGCAGAGTACGGGCAGGTCTCTGCTCCCAGCCCTGTCCCGTTCCGTCACCATGGCTCCAGTTTGGGATTTATTTTTAGGGGCTGATGGGAGGACAAATTGAATGACTCCCCCTCGAGCCTTCCTTTGCTTTAGAGCAGCACTGTGATGTATGTGTGTATATATATTTTTATATATATGCACGTCTGTGTATATATAAATATATGTATATGCATGTGTGTGTGTATATAAAAATGTGTATGTGTGTATATAAAAATGTGTATGTGTGTACATAAAAATGCGTCTGTGTATATATAAAAATGCATGTGTGTGTGTGTATATCTCCATGGCTCCTTGGCTGTCCCATGGCTTCCCTTCTCACGGGTGGTTTCTCTCTCTCAGATCATTAAACGACCCGGGAGCGAAGATGAGTCCCCCATGATCGGGGACAAGGTTTATGTCCACTACAAAGGCAAACTGGCCAATGGTAAAAAATTTGACTCCAGCCGCGATCGGAACGAGCCCTTTGTCTTCAGCCTGGGCAAGGGTGAGCCAGTCTGGGGGGTGTGACCTGGGGGATGCTCGAGGACGGGATGATCCGGGGGGGTGGGATGATCCTGGGGGTTGGACCCTGTTGCAGGGACAGATGGACCGTGTCAGCCCTGCCTTCAGTCTGAGGGTGGGGGTTTTTTGGGGTGCTATCCTCGCAGCACCCAGGCTGGGTTTTTTCTGGGCTGACGATTGCTCCCTCCTGCCTGACATCTGCCTCTCTCCTAGGTCAGGTAATCAAGGCATGGGACATCGGGGTGGCTACCATGAAGAAGGGAGAGATCTGCTACTTGCTCTGCAAACCCGAGTACGCGTATGGCTCTGCTGGCAGTGCCCCCAAAATCCCCTCCAACGCCACCCTCTTTTTTGAGGCAAGTAATGCCAGCGAACCGGCGCGTGGATGAGCTCGCTCGCTCTCTTTCTGCTTTGCCAGCCAGCTCAGAAACAAACAAAAAAACCCAACCAGCCAACCCAACACAAAAACCAGCTTGGATTCCTGAAACGTGTCCCTCTGCTCCAGGAACCGCTGCCAGGGTTTTCTCAGAAATGTGTGTCTGAGCTGGGAGGCTGGGACTGAAACTCCGACTGGGGAGAGCCCCAGTGCCGGAGGGGGGGGAGTGGGCAGATTCCCAGTTTAAAAATGCACATGGGAAGGAGAAAGCGGCTGGGAAATGCCTCTGGGTGCTAAAACCTGATTAGTGCCGCGGGGCGGTAGGAAAGCCAAGGTTTTGGCACGGTGTGCTCCCTGGGCAGGGCTCGTCAGGACAAGGCGGTGGGGCGGGAGGAATGAGTCTGTCCTAAATTAAGGCTTAGTCCTTCCAAGTCGAGTGGGGACTAAGCCGTGGGTCAGAGCTGGTCCCGTCGGAGAATGAAGGGGAAACTCCTGCCCACGCTGATCCCGGACAGTTTTCACAGCACCTTCCAGCAGTGGCCGTGTTGTACCCTTACAGGCTTAATAAACTTATTTTTACTGTTATGCTTCAGGTACTGGATGTGTCCCAATTTCTAATAAATCGGGTGTATTATGCTGTGGCTTGGAGCTGGCTTTTATGGGCAACTTCTGCTCGTCAGCTGAATGGAGAATTAGCTGGCTTGACGCTCCAGCCAGGAGATGAACTGCTGCTTTGTGGCTTTTCTGTTGTTTTTCTCTTCTCCTTCCCCCCCCCCCCCC